CATGGCACTTTTGTAGCCGGCGTTGCAAGGTATTTACATGCCATATATGCTAAACATTCGTATGCCCCTTCATGCTTCAGCCACCATTCCAGAGGACATGCTTCCATGCTGACGATGTTAGTTAAAAAAATAGTGTGTTAATTAAATTTGTGTCTGAACTCCCTGGGGGAGAATTGTATGTCCCCTGCTCTGTTGTACCTGCATTCTGCCATATATTTCATGTTATAGCAGTCTCGGATGATGACCCAGCACATGTTGTTTGATTTATGAACACTTTCATTGCAGATTAGACAAAATGCAAAGAAGGTGCCAATGTGAGATTTCTAAAAATAGCTACAGCACTCAACCCAAGGTTCAAGAATCTGAATTGCCGTCCAAAATCTAAGAGGGACGAGGTGTGGATCATGCTTTCAGAAGTCTTAAAAGAGCAACTCTCAGATGCGAAAACTACAGAACCTGAACAACCAAAAAATAAAATCAACCTTCTGCTGGTGGCATCTGACTCAGATGATGAAAATTAACATGCATCGTTCGCTCTGCTTTGGATCGTTATCAAGCAGAACCCGTCATCAGCATGGATGCATATCCTCTGGAATGGTGGTTGAAGCATGAAGGGACATCTGAATCTTTAGTGCATCTGGCACATAAATATCTTACAACGCCAGTTACAACAGTGCCATGCGAACACCTGTTCTCACTTTCAGGTGACATCGTAAACAAGAAGAGGGCAGCATTATCTCCTGCAAATGTAAAAAAACTTGTTTGAGCAATTGGCTGAAGTAGGACTGAGTGGACTTGTAGGCTCTAAAGTTTTACAATGTTTTATTTTTGCATGAAGTTATTTTTTTGTACATAATTCCACATTTGTAAGTTAAACTTTCAAGATCGAGATTGCGCTACAGTACTTGTACTAGGTGAATTGAAAATACTATTTCTTTTGTTTTTTACAGTGCAAATATTTGTAATAAAAAATAAATATAAAGTGAGCACTGTACACTTTGTATTCTGTGTTGTAATTGAAATCAATATATTTGAAAATGAGGAAAACATCCACAAATATTTAAATAAATGGTATTCTATTATTGTTCAACAGTGCGATTAATTGTGCAATTGCGATTAATGTTTTTAATCACTTGACAGCTCTAATTGTAATCATCCCACCTCTAAGCAAATATCTTTACAGAAGACAGGACTAGCTGCTCCAAGAAGTAAGGAGATGGCTAGATGTACTAAAGGAGAAATCCCTTCAGCTCAGGTCCGATGCACCAATCAAAGGAAGGTGTTCAGCTCCTTGGCACTGCCTCCACTCACAAGCCTTCTGGCTTTCTCAGCCTCTCTCCTCCATCAAAAGGTCCTTCACAAATTGAACCAACCTGTTAGCACCCGGAATGACACTGCAAAAATATACCTGTTTGTCAGACTAGCTTCTAGTGGTGGGAAAAGTCAGTGAGAGGTTCTTGGGTGAAGAGTCAAAGAATCTCAATAGAGACTAGGAAAGTTTGTCACCCAATCCTGACTGTGGCCTTTTGTTTATACTACAAGGTCAATATCAAACCTTCACAGCAGAGGACCTGTTAGTGTATTCACTCTGCATTACCCTGGCAGTGTCAGAGGTCAGGGAAACATCTTGATTTGAAGAGCAAGAGGGTTCATTTATGCATCAATCGTTCTCTAAGGAGTAGATCACTCTTCTCCAAGAATGAGTTCTTAACAAGGTCCTTTTAGACTTGGTTTGTTTGGGAACAGAACAGTCCTACTTAGAAATCTGCTATGCTGGTAAGGTGGTGCAGACAGGGCTGGAAAAGAAAAGTCAAACCATCCACATCCTCTGACGGTGGCCAAAGATTATCTGAGAATACAAACCCAAACCCTGGGTTTTTGGGATGGTTTGGATGTGGATTAAGATCCCTGTTTTGAAGCCTGTGGCCATCAGATTCTATTAACCATCTCCAGTTGGCCATCATGCCTTCTAGGTTTCCCAATGGAGAAAGCACAACACTACTCGCTATAAACAAGACCAAGATGAAATATACTCAAGAGCTTGAAAGAGAAGAAGTGAGGGAGAGTGCTAATTACATAAAGCCCTTCCACATTCATATCTTATTAAACAAACCCAAATGCTTGTGTGGTGTGTAGCTCAAATGCTGTCTTGCTTTTAAACAGCAGATGGTGTTGCAAACCTACAACAGGTGGAAATTCTTCCGTTTAATATAAGAGATCAGAAGTAACAGAAATTTCTCTTTTCCCCAGGGTAGGTTCGTTCATTAGGCAAACAGCAGGTTGGTCATCTACTTGAATATTTACTACAGAAGAAAAGAGTCAGAAAACAGCTTTTGAGCCACACATATTAGGATGAATGAAAGCAATTGTGGCTTGAATCATTCTGATTATAATGGAAAGAAACCAGCTAAGGTAATTCTCTGTTAGCACAGAGATGGGATGGGTAAACAGATTTAGGTGTTTGCTACCATAATATAAATATTTACTAATAATAGTGCAGGACTGTGTATATATTTCTAATATTTGGTAGACTTAAGTCATCAGTAGATCCATTTTTGAGCTGTTTATTTATTTTGCACCAAGAAAACCAGGTAAAGTTAAGTTGACTAGTTTTAGACTCCAACATGGCTATATTCTCTTGGCTATGCTTAGATGGATACAAATAATTCCTCCTGAATCCAGGTAAGAATCTCACACACAAGCAGTTCTCCTATAAGGGAGTTACATGACCGTCCAGCCCGAATCTGATCTCACAGTGGTTTAACACCAATGTAACTCCGTTAACATTAGTAGAGCCAGTTCAGATTTGCAGGGGTCCAAGTGAGAGCAGAATTGTGGCTTATCTCTTGTAGTCATCCTTTGCTTAGATGTTCCTAATCTTTATTGCAACTTTGAAGAAATACTTTGAATGCTTTGTTTAAACAGTGGTAGCTGTCATTGCTGGATATTTGATATCCTGAACTGGATTTATTACTGATTTAAAGGTCCAAGCTTCTACTCTATCTGTCCAATGAAAGTTTAAGGTAGATTAAAAAAAATTCACTCATGAAGTAAAATAAAATTAAAATGTCCCCTCCCCCCCTTCTCTCTCTCTTTCCCCCACTCCCAAATGCTATTTAAAGGAGGGGGCAAGGAGCTCTTCTGATGTTTAAACAATAACTGGGTTTCTCTCCTTGTGGCAGTGCAGATTTAATCAGACCCGCCTCCTAGTTCCAACTCCCAGGCTTGAACGCTCTCTGGTCTGTGCTGGGTGTACTTCTAATTACGAAAGCAATTCCCATGGATACCGCAAAGAATTGTCTGTACTGGAGGAGATGATCCCAGCAGGGAAAATGTTGAAGGAAAATTGTTCAACACATTCTGGAAGAGATTCCAGAAGTTTTGGAGGGTGGAAAAGAAAAATCTTCTTGGTGTAATTGCACCACAACCCACCAATCTGCTCTTTTTTCACATGGAGATGCACGTAGTGGTTCAGGTTCTCATCCCAGTTACAACAGTATAAAACAGTGACTATTGACTTCACAGTTGCTACTTCAACATTTCCACTAGTGTACCAAAGTGGAATTTGGCTGGCTCACTCTATGCCCAAATTGAACTTTTACCTTAAGAACATTCTTTGCTTTTCTAGGCCCTTTTAGAAGCTCCAGAAACACAACCAACCAAAGTGTTTTATTTTCCAACAATGCTAGCGAGAGGGTTTATTTCCTTAAAAGCAGCATTAAGGATGAGGCAGCAATCTCTACTCACAGCAAGGCACCAACTGGGAGTCTAGCAACCTAGTTTCTATTACTGGCGCTCTTGCTGACTTTCTCTGTAACCTTTGGCAAGTCACTTCCTCTCTGAAGTGCTTTGAAGTTTGAGATCTATGAATTGACAGAACTATTACATTTTATTTAGAAATTAAAGTTTAAAAGGCATTTAAGCTAAAAATATCCTCTGCTAACAAAAGAAGGGGAGAAAAATATTGTTTCTAAATCAGCTACTGTTAAATGAAGAAAAAGAAACAAAGATATTCACATCTAAAATCTTTTCTCAACTGTAACTATTCAACAGCAATTCCCTGACTTCAAAGTGCAGAGGGGAAAGACATTTTAATGTTGTTTTTATTTATATGGATGCATAAAAATTAGAGGGGAAACTAAGAAAATGCTGGGATGGAAGATTATTTTAGTAATCTTCCAGTCAGCCATAGAACACTCATAAATGTATTAGCTTCACTGATTACTTTTAT